TACTTCTACTTTTATCAGGGCTCCCAGCAGTCCATGTTGCAAGAAATAGTGACTTAAGAGACTAATAATAAAAAATAAACGACCAAATATAGACCAAATTAATTACCGAAATAACTATAAAAAGGAGGTATACATTTTTTTGGGATAAAAGATCTAAATTTGAATTTAAAATACATAGAGATAACTTGAAATTATAAATTTTTATTGAATTAAATTTAACAAGTAACCATAACTGTTATAAAATACATAAATAACAAAAAAAATATTAAATTCTGTAATAAATTATAACTTATAATAAATAGAATCACATTTATATAAAAGGCACTTTTTTTTGGTGGGCTGCAGCTGATCTATAATTTTCGCCTTTCGTTTTTCTAAATCTTGGGCAAGACGACTCCTTCAAACATTAGTTGCGCCATACATATTTAAGTCATTTTTTTTATTTTCTGCACCCTCCCTTAATCGTTCAATTTAATTTTTTTTTATGTCAGTACAAGTACATTTAAACTTTGTTTTTATTAAATAATATAAATGTATTATTTTTAATAATCAAAACTATAGTTATACACTTACCTTTGCTATCGTCTGAACATATTTTTTTAGGGTTATGGAATGGATGATAAAACATAGAATAGGAACACATTCTTTGTCACATGTTCTTTGATAGATACTAGGTACTTACTAATTTCATGAAAAATGCATATATAGGTAGTGTTAACCTAGCGAACCGAAACTATAAACGTAAACGAAACCCTAGGCCAAACCAGAAACAATTCAGCAATAATTTTGGCGGGCGGTTCGGGTCTGGACGGCGGGAACTGTAAACTGCGAAGTTTTCGAATGTTTCACTTGGTTTACTATGGTTTCGATATTTATAAAACTGTGAATATTTATATTTAAAAAAATATTTTTTAATAGTTGATTTTAACAGAAAATATAGACTTTATAGACTTTAGGTAAAAAAATAGACTTTTATAGACTTAAGACAAAAATATAGACAAGTCTTTAAAAAAACTACCTGCTGGGAGCCCTGACTTTTATAAAATATTTCTTGGGATTTTTTTTTATATAATGAATAGCCTAATAATAGAAGAATATATTTGACAATTTTGATGCAAAAATAATATATAATAAATTACCTACAATTTTTTTTATAAAAACAGTTTTGTGATTTGTCCCGTCCATCCGCTTGAAATGGCCGTTTTATCAACTTATTTTTTTATGAAATTATTTTTTTATCAACTTATTTTTTATGAAATTATTTTATATGGATTACCTACCTTGTTTCCTTTTTTGAGGGGAAATTTGTCGATTTGGCGTATTATCTACCTTATGCGCATATCAAGTTCATAAATTGGGGATTTAAAATATATGATACCATAGACCGGTATGATACGAATTGTAAACTAAATTAAATTTAAGTTATATAAAATTTTATAATATTCATATTATGTAAAAGCCACTGAAAATCTCGTAAAGACAATGAAAAAAAACAATGCCAAAACAATTGGTATACTACAGAAAACAAACAAAATGGTTAATTATTAAAACCATCTACATATTAATATGTCTATAATAAAAACCTTTTAACTACCGTGGTCAAAATACAACGTTGCCCAATTCTTGCTGTTATAAATATGCCATTATAAAATCCAAAATATCAACATCAATATGATCATTATCATTTTATGTGTTTATTATTGTTAAATGCTTTTTCATACAATTTATTTAAAAGTATTTATTATTCTTTCCAAATGGGGACAAAAATATGGTATTTTTTTTAAACCGACAATGCAGTCACGCATGCGCCTCAATGCAATCACCCGTTTGATTCTCACTTCCCCTACTTTAATAACAATAATAATCACATAAAATGATGATATTTTGGATGTTATATTATAATAGCATGTTTATAACAGCAAAAATTTGGCAACGTCGTATTTTGACCACGATAATTAAAGGGATTTTATTATAGACATATTAATATGTAGATGGTTCTAATAATGAACCTTTTTGTTTGTTTTTTGTATACTATAGTATATCTACAGGCATTGTTTTTTCATTGTCTACGAGATTTTTAGTAGCTTTTACATAATAAAAATATTATAAAATTTGATATATCCTAAATTTAATTTAGTTTACAATTCGTATCATACATGCATAATATGCATATTATGTAAAAAAAGTTGATAAAAAAAATAAGCTGATAAAAAATAATTTCATAGAAAAATAATTTGATGAAAAAATGATTTCATAAAAAAAAGTTGATAAAAAAATAATTTCATAAAAAATATTTTGATAAAGAAAAAAATTAATAAAAAAAATATTTGATAATGAAATAATTTAATAAAAAAATAATTTGGTAAATATTGCATACAATTAATTATTTATAAAGCAAAATAAGTTTATTTTGCGCTTTTAATTTTGACACAAACGGCGCCTTATATGAAGGTATTTCGGTTTAAGGCTAATTTCGTCTTATTAATAAAAATAATACAATATACAGGGTGTTTCACATTTGTGGATCAATAGAAGGGAAGATTTGAAATTTTAAAAGCTTTTGTAATCCATTTAAGTCTACTTTTCAAAATAAGTTTATTTTGCACTTTTCATTTTGACCTAAACGGCGCCTCGTCGAGGCGCCGTTTAGGTCGAGGCGGCCTCGAATGTCAAGGTGGGAATTTTGAGTGTGATGCATAGTACTATAAAATGTCTTTTTAACTTTTTGACCTTAAATTATAGGATTATCAATAGTTTACCTACTATTGCATACAATTAAAAAATCATAAAAATGAGACTTGGCCTATCAATCAATAGGTAGTTTATTTTAAAAATCTAAAAAACCGCTTAATTTTTATAAATTTGCATTTCTTCAGAATGACATGGTTCCAAGTGCAGCTGCCCTGTTAAGCGAAAATCCCTTATCTGCATTATTTAATATTGCAGATAAGTCATTTTCGCGTAACAGCACTTAGAACCTTGTTATTCCAAGGTAGGTACCGAAATATAAAAGATAGAAACTTGACTGCATGAAATTTTTTGTAGAAAATTTCGTGCTTTTTAAGGATTATTAATCACTTATATGAAAAAGTGGCTACATAGAATGCAGGAAAAAAACATGTTCCTTTGTTATTTCAATGGGAAATTTGAAAACGTGATACCAAATTGAAATACAAAAAAATATATCCAAAAACATGTATTTTTGGTGGATTTTTAATAAAATTTGAAAACACCATTTTATACCTTATTGTTTTACTAATAAACATAAGATTTAAAAAACAAACGAATAAAAACAGTTCTTTTGAAAAGTCCGCCATTTTGACCGTTGGCTTTTTATGCGCATGTGCATACTGCATCACGCAAGCGTATACGGAAATAATACAATAAATCATGCATATTTAGAGGGAAAAACTTAAATATTGCATTAAATTAATTATAATAGAACCTAAAATTTATTATATATATACCTACCTAAAATTTATTATACCTATATATATTATTAAAAGAACAAATTCAATTCAAAGCCACCATCATGATACACACCTCGTGGCCGCCATATTGGTTATTTTAAGGCGTTGTCTCAGTTAAGATCTAAAAAGGTACTTACCATGAAAATTTCGCCCATATTTCCAAAAAACTCGTACAAATACTGGATGCAAATGAACCTTGGTATGTTCCGGACATAAAGTTCAGTATCCTTTTCGGGTAGCCGTTTGTATGTTCCATCTTTTTCAGGTTTTGTCTCCAGAAACAACTGGCCTTGATCCTGTCTCAACGTATACACCAACGGATCAGGATTGCTGTGAAATAAATCGATAAAGTTACTTTCCGAACTCATTTTTTTCACAGGATATCTTGATTTTCGAAGCTGCAACTACCACTTGATTTCTGATTCGAACAAACCGTTTGATTATTAACTAAAGTGGCCGTAGGGGCGCTGCAGTGCGTGCTAGGTTGCCAAACTGCCATTTCCGGTTTACTTTAGGTTCATCAAAATTCGTTTGCATCAAATATGAAGCATACCTTTGCGTAAAAATCCGAGCATGCATCAAAAACAGACAAAAGCCCAAGCATAAAAAAGAAATTAGGCAACGTTGCGATCTTGTATAGGTTATCAGTGCTGACAACTTAGTTGATTAATAAAAGTTACTAATAGGCTTGTTCCTACCGAGCATTTTGGACTGTCAAAGGGAAGTCAGGGACGATATTTTTGTATTTTCGCCAATTCGACAGTCCATATTCTCGGTAGGAAAAAACCTAGGTCGATTTTGTTTTTCAAATAAATTTTGATCTACAATTTTTATATTTACCGCCATTGTACCGCACTATTTTTTTAGAAGTTCGAATAGATTATGAAATTGTGATTTTAGCCACAATCTTATGGATTGTGATTTTAGCAATATGCACATTTATACCTTTTGGGCTGATCATTTGAGAGATGTTAATTTTTAAAAGGGAAAATTTAGTTTTTAATGTTTTAGGTAGGTATAGTTTTTATTAAAAGACTTTAATGTGGTTTTGTTAAAATTAAAAAGTGTTAAAGAAGAAATGTTCATTCAGTTTATTATTGTTTTTATTTTAGTTTTTTAGTATTTCTTTTTTAGCATATAATTTAAAACAAATATTCACTACTAGATGTAAAAAGTTTTAGTTGAGTGTTCAGTTGGTATTAATTAATAACAAAAATCATCAATCATTTTCTCAAGGAAAACCATAATAAAACAACAATATTTTCATAAAAAGTTTATAAAACTTAAAAAGTACAAAATATACAAAAAGCATGCAAACAAAATAACATTTTCATAAACTTAAAACTAAAAACAATGCTTAGAATATAAAATTGGTTATTTCCAAAAAAGTGATTAAGAATTAAAAAATAACCGATAAATTATTGAACCTACGCATTCTTCAGCAAACTATGAAAAAATCTGTTAAAAAAAAGAATAATAATTAAAAAGCAAAAATAGCGTAATTTTCAATAATCGCAATTTTAGGAGGCCAGACAAATATCTATTATTTAATTAAAAAAATATAATATGTTGTACAATCCATGGTTAAAAATTTAATTATTAGAAAATTGAATGTTAAACAAAATACGTAGGTTTCAATAATTCAATAATGATAACACAATAAAATATTGAAAAATGTAAAAAGTTGTTTAAAAAATTTAACAGGTTATGAAGTAAAAAACTTTTTAAAAAATTAAATAATTCTTGAGTAAAAAGTTTGTGTATTAAAAAGTTGTTATAAAAATATTACTGAAAAAATTTTATTGAAATATTTTTTGATTAAAAAGTTTTTTATTCTTATCTGCATAATAAAAAGTTCACAAATTGTACACACCAAAAAATAAAAATATATTCAATATTTATATAATATAAAAATATATATTTTATTTTTTTAATGTGTAGTAACAAACAGTTAAAAATTTTTGTATAAATTCTCAGTTTCCTGGCGGTAGTGCTGAAACAATAAATAACAATTAATAAAATATTTAATACATTATACAATTTTTTTAATACTTCATACACTTTATATAAAAAACAAAACTACCAAAATAATCATATACACAATGTGTCCAAAAAGTTTTAAAAAGGAAGTAAAATGAATATTACGCGGATAATTTATTAAAACTAATTAACTTAAAAAAAATGGAAAAATTATTTAAATTTTGGGAATTTTAAGAGCCATAAATATGGCACGCCGTTTTAGCATTTATTATATATATTATAATAGTTTAAAGATTACAGTTTATCACTTTAATGTTTAAAGTAAAATTGTATTTAAATTTAAAATATTTTTTGATTCTCAATTGATTTAAATATAAAAAAAATTAATTTTTAAACTATTTTGGTAAAAAATGTTTTATATGTGTTTTCAATTTAAATTTCTAGACCATTTTTAAATACTAAAAAATTTAATTTTACCAATTTAATCTAAATAATTTTATAAAATACTTATTTAAGATTTAAAAAATTCTGCCCAAATAAATTCCTATATTATTATAAGAAATTATTTAAAAAAAATATAAAAATAGTAATTTTTGCAAAAATTGATTACTTTATGGACCAATCAGATTTCAGAAAACGAGTGGTTTTTTCAGTTTTGCATAGCAACCAATTGGTTGCTGTTCAAAAAATAATTGCCAATGTTGACGTTTCTAATTTTAAAATAAAAATGTCAAAAAATATGCGTTTTGGTAAAAAAAATCGTACAGAAATTAAATCGGCAGTTAATTCTAATTTAAAAAAAATATTCGTGAAATAGTCTTGCCGAATACCACTCGTGATAAATTTTTGCCTGAAAATTTTTTTGATTTTTATTTATCAAGATTTTGCTCCGGGCATTAATTTAAAACCAATAAATTAATGCCACTTGCGAAATTTCCAAGAAAAAAACATTCGTGTAAAAATCAAAAATTTTGTTAAAAAATAATTGTCAATGTTGACATTTCTAATTTTAACAAAAAATGTCAAAAAATATGCGTTTTGGTCAAGAAAATCATACAGAAATTAAATCGGCAGTTAATTTTAGTCTCTAAAAATGAAGTAATCAAAAATTACTAATTTAATAGTTATTAGTGGCTGCTTTTTCACTTGTACCAAGGTTAACCATGGAATTCCAAAATTTATTAGCCAATACTTATGTAAAATTGTCCCCAGAATCCAAAAATGTCGTCAAAAGTTAAAAAAGTAGAACAGTTTTTGAGATTTAGTCAATTTTCCATTTAATATGGAATTGACTATACCTCAAAAACTGCCATGGTATTCCATGGTTAACCATGGTACAAGTGAAAAGCAGCTACTAATAACTATCAAATTAGTACTTAATTTTTGAGTAATTCATTTTTGGAGAGATCATATAAAAAAAATATTCGTGAAATAGTCTTGCCGAATTAATTTAAAACCACTCGCCTAATGCCACTTCCGAAATTTCCAACAAAAAACATTCGTATAAAAATCAAAAATTTTATCGGTAAAATTTTACCACTTGTGGTATTATATACGAGAAAATTTCAAACCTATAAAATTTAAATTAAAAAATTATTTAATATAAATGTTAAAATGGCGTAATACTTAAATTAAATTTAGGTACTTACCCTCATAAATCGGCTTTCTTCAAAATTACATTGATCTTGATTTTCATCCTGAGCTTTCAATGCTTCAAAATGCCTGATGAACTCGTTTTCTTTATTTTCATCAAATAGTTGCTGACAAACATTGGCGGGCTTGACGACGTTTGATGCAGTGTTGCCTCTTTGAACATCGACATTTAACTCTTGAAAAGGCACGCGAGTAGCATTAGAGGGCCGTCCTCTGACCACTTGAGAAAACAAGGGCACCCTCATTTCCGGAGAAAATTTTCCAGAGAAGCGTCTTTCTCCTTTGGTCTCTTCGGGTTTGAAAAATTGCGGCGAAATGTTGCCGAACACGTACTGGTAGAATGCCACGTTGTCGGGTGGGATTTGGAAGTTGTTCGGGGAATCCCCCAGACGCGATGTCGAAGCCTCCTCGTCGGAAGAGGAACGCGACGTTGCCGACTTGTAGGGCTTCATTTTTTCGTTCTGATTTCTGAAAACGAAAGTATTGTAATTAATAAAATATAAATAATTTGGAAATTAAAAATACTTACACTTTTTTTTGTCTATACTCAGCAGTGGTGTACTCATTTGGCGGCTTAGCCCAAGACACTTCCACAGGGGTGTTCTTATAATATTCTACAAAAAAAAAACATTAAAATAATAAAAGTTGGGTTATTTTATGACTTTTTAAGATAGTATTTGTTCATTTTAGATGTTTTGGAATAATTAAAGTGGAATTTCACATTTTAAGGTACAGCTTTAACAAAAATGGGTGAAGTGTGCCATTTTTCCAAACAGGGTGTTTGTATATAGGTAACATGAACGCTCTTTTATTTTTTATTAAAACATTTATTAAATAATTTTTTAATTTAAAATTTTATTGGTTTAAAATTTTCCCAAGAATTTTTTTAACCAACTAACAGTTCATTCTGTATTAAACAATATTATTTCCTAAAATTTTTTGATAAAAAATAATTTCTTTGGGCAGAATTTTTTAAATACTAAATAAATTTTTTATAAAAATTGTAATTTTAATATTTTATTTAAAAAAATCTTGGTTTAAATTTTTCAAAGATTGTCGATATATTTTTAATACAAAAACTCTCACATTACATTTAAATGTTACTTTTAAATTTGAAAGTGGTAATTTTTGTATTAAAAATTTATAAACCCGACTATCATTTAAATGGCTCTTGAAAAATTTAAACCAGACTTTTATTTTTAACAAATTTAAATTGATACATTTTTAACACAAACATACATATTCACATTACATTTAAATTTAAGTTGATAATTTTTAATTTACAAAATGTAAATGCTGCTTTAGCTGACTGCGCTTTGTGTGTTTCACCGACTATGGACTATGCTTAAAATTGACCAGTCTAATAATAATAATATTTATTAGTGCCATTACCAAAAGGTTTATAACGCCAGGAAAATACAAATATAAACATAGTACAAGAAAGGTAAATACAAATTAAACAAAAAATATAATAAAATAAGGATGAAATTAAAAAGTAAGGATTTTAAGAACAATTTGTATTCATTAAAAGCCATATTTTTTACATTATTAGGTCCACTTTGGCACCTGTTAAGTCTAGAGAATCGATTAATTAAGTTGGTTTTATTTCTAGTGCTATAGTTATGTAAATTAAAAATTATTGACTTACATTTAAATGCAAAGTTAAAAATTTTGTGTTATCAATGTATCAATTTAAAATTGTTAAAAATAAAAATATTTTCTTTGAACTTGTAAAGAGTCATTTAAATGATTGTCGATACATTTTTAATCCAAAAATTACCACTTTAAAATTTACATGAAATGTGAGAATTTTTTTATTAAGAATTTATCGACCATCATGTAAATGACTCTTTACAAAAATTTTGTAGAATAAATATTGAACTAAAATTTTTAAAAATCAAGTTTACAGTCAAGTACCATTTGAAATGTAAAAAATAGTTATATGTTTTTTAAAGAGTAAAAAATTATATTTACCTTGTAGTTGTCTATATAAACATTCAGCAATTTCTCTACTTGTGCAATGAACAAATGCATAATCTTTAAATTTGTAAACTTTCTCGATTACATCACAAGATATAAAATTTGAAACCAAACTTTTGAGTTCTTCATTCGTCTGGAGAACGTTAAGGTTTCTAAGGAAAATCTTGTTAACCTAAAAAAAATATAATATAAGATATCTATATAAGTTAAAAAAAACATAATTTTGTATTGGTAATAGAAGATATCTACAAATTTGGCAATCTTGCACATGCTGTGTTCTCCCCCCCTTAGCTCTTAAACCCAGCCAACCAATGACAAGCAATTCAAAGTGGCTTAGCCATTGGCGCGCTGTTGCCTACCTTCTGCATAATCTCGTCGTTGGGTTCCGGGTAGGGGATCGACCAATCAACGATCGCTTCGCGTCCGAACAATTGCAAGCCGGTCGAGTTTTTGGCGCGAAATCTAGCCGCTTGCTCGTGCGTTTTGAATTCCACGAATACGAAGCCTCGGTTGACGGTGCGGTTTCCGTACGACCTAAAAATTTAATGGTGAATATAGACCAGTGCAGAAGCCTTTAAAAATGGTAAAAAGAAAAAAAAATAACAGTAGGATGAAACCCATTGGAAAAGGAGGGGAATATAATAAAAATTAAAGGAAAAATAAATTACGGGCGATCTGAGTTCGGGAAGTGGGAGGGGGGGGGGTTTAAGGGTAAAAAATGGTTATCTCGATTTCCGGCAAAACTACAAGTCCTATGGAAAAAAGTTAAATGTCAAAGTTGTAGGTAATAAAAAGATCTACAACTTTTGTATTTACAATTTTTTCACATAACCTCAAAATTTATGTGAAAAATTGAAAAAACCAAGTTTTTGGTTTTTTATTTTTATCTTTTTCAAAAAAAAATTTTTTCCACGAAATTTGGTGAAAACTTACCTTTTTATGTCCCAAATACACTGTAATTTATTTGATTTGAAATATTTAGTTTTTCGCCTTATTTTGACTTAATATCAAAAAAGCACCCTAATTTTCAATCGAAAATTCTCGCGTCAAAATATCAGCTTTTTTCAAAAAGTCGGTGTGCTTTTTGTTCAATGAACTCTCTACTTTCTGATGATGTAAAAAAATATATACATTACTATGGTAAATGTTCTCAGAAAATACAAAAAATAACGTAATCAGAATGAAGTATCTAAATTCAATAGTATGATTTACATGTATTTTTATATTTTATGAGATTTTCTGACATAAATGTTATTAGAATTTAATAAGTAAACTTTTTAACTAAAAAAAATTGCAACAATCCCATTTTTTTGATGAAATTGTACATAATGATTAAAATAAATTTTCGAATTCGAGTTTTTTTCGTTATTCATTATAATATTTTTTGCATTTTCTGAGAACGTTTACCACAGTAATGTATATTTTTTTTACACCATCAGAAAGTAGAGATTTCAACGAACAAAAAACACACCGACTTTTTGAAAAAAGCTGATATTTTGACGCGAGAATTTTCGATTGAAAATTAGGGTGCTTTTTTGATATTAAGTCAAAATAAGGCGAAATAATAAATATTTGAAATCAAATAAATTACAGTGTATTTGGGACATAAAAAGGTAAGTTTTCACCAAATTTCGTGAAAAAAATTTTTTTTTTCAAAAAGATAAAAATAAAAAACCAAAAACTTGGTTTTTTGAATTTTTCACATAAATTTTGAGGTTATGTAAAAAAATTGTAATTACAAAAGTTGTAGATCCTTTTATTACCTACAACTTTGCCATTTAACTTTTTTCCATAGGACTTGTAGTTTTGCCGGAAATCGAGATAAACCATTTTTTACCCTTAAACCCCCCCCTCCCACTTCCCGAAGTCAGATCACCCGTAATTTATTTTTCCTTTCATTTTTATTATATTCTTCTCCTTTTCCAATGGGTTTCATCCTACTGTTATTTTTTTTGGTTTCAAAAATTATCGACCCTGGTCTAATAAGCAACTTTAATATTGTAATTAATTTCGTTAAAAAGAATGAAAACCGTTTTACAACATCAAAAATTCAAATTTGTTAATTATTTTTTGAGAAAAAGTTTCTTAAAAAATTAAATTCTCATTCTTCATTTTACATTATGGGTTGCAAATTGGGTTTCAACCCAACTGTAACAAAAAAAATATACCTATTATTGGAATATAAGAAAAAAATATTACCTATACATAATGACATCGATAATATTTTTGTTTCCAAGTCTCTCCAACTCCTTCCATACTTGATCCTTACTTTTTTGGGTGGCGATATTTCCCAAAAATATGCGTCTGTTATTGAAGGACAGTTTAATGTCGAGGCAGCCTTCTAAAAATTAAAGCAAAAATATATAAATGATCAAAAGTCGTGCTGAGAATTTTAATTCGGCTTCAGTTTCCAATCCAAGAATGGAAAAACGTTTTAAATATTTGAGGTTATGTTACACCCCAAGAAAAAATTTCTTCACAAATTCGTTACGCGATCTAAGAGTACCAGTTATACATAGGTATATATCGTCAAAATCCTTTTTAATTTTTTCGATATTCTTGATTCTCTTCAAGAAATCTTTAGATACAGTTTGATTTGGGTAAAAATTTGATTAATTGAAAATTTTAAATAAAAAGGATTTTGAAGAGAGTAGGTACTTTTAGATGGCATAAGGATTTTTGTCAAATAAACATATTGCTACTTTTGGGTAAAAATTTCTAAAGAACCGATGTGATCAAAAATGTGATAAAGGTTCAGTCTTATTTATATTAAAAAAATATATATATATAATATATGTAGGTATAATACATAATAATAAATATTGAATGAAATGGAATATATATATACAGTGACTAATTTGTTTACGACTCACCCCTGTAAAATCTTTATTTATTGTGCGATTTTAACCGGATTTGTTTTAAAGTGTAGATCTTGATAAACTGTATTAATAAAACAACATGTTTTTACAAAATACAAGGCCTACTATGTCAGTTTTTAAAATTTGAATTTATATTAGCGATTTAAAAAATCTATGTAGGTACGGCATTGGATTCACCCCCTAATCAAAACGAACCTATACTAAATTTTATTTAAAAAAATTAAGTAGGAACGATTTTGTAGCTAAATTAAAAATGCACAATAATTACTATTTCCAAAAATTTATTCTGTCAAGTTACCTAACCATGAAAAAACATTGAAATAAAATTAAACCAATAGTAACATGATATAAATATTCCTATGCTTAGTTTTGACAAATAAAAAACGCAATAGAAACTCTAAAATGAAATAAATGGTGGATAAGAAGAGCTTTTTTTTGTTTCATTGTTGTTTTACGTTAATTAATTAATTATTTGATTTGTCAAAACTTAGCATAGGAATACCATGTTAGGTTCCTACCTAAGTTTAATTTTATTTCAATGTTTTTTTCATGGATAACTTGACACAAAAAAATCGTTCATACTTAAAATTTTCCAGTAATATTTAGTATAGGGTCATTTTGAGGCGTGGTGAATCCAGTGCCGTGCATAATTTTTACTCTCAAAAACTGACATAGTAGGCCTTAAAATTTGTAAAAATATGGCGTTTTTGCTATAAAAATGCAGTTTATCACAAATCCGGTCAAAATCGCATAATAAATAAAAAAATTTACAGGGGGTCACACTGTATACAGTGTGACCCATTTGTTTGCGACTCACCCCTGTAAAATCTTTATTTATTGTGTGATTTTAACCGGATTTGTTTTAAAATGTAGATCTTGTTAAACTGTATTTTTAGAGCAAAAGGCGCCATATTAGTACAAAATATCAGTTTATTGAGTAAATTTTTAAGAATTCATATTAGCGATTTTTTTAAACAAAATTTAAGCACGGCACTGGATTCACCACCCCTCAAAACAACTCTATACTAAATTTTATTGAAAAATGTTAAGAAAAAAAATGCACAAAAATATCTACAAAAATTTATTTTGTCAAGTTATCCATGAAAAAAACATTGAAATAAAATTAAAGCAATATTAACATGGTACTATTACTATAAGTTTAATTTTATTTCAATGTTTTTTCATGGATAACTTGACAAAAAAAAATTTGTAGTTATTATTGTGCATTTTTTTTCTTAAATTTTTTTAATAAAATTTAGTATATGGTCGTTTTGAGGGGTGGTGAATCCAGTGCCGTGCTTAGATTTTGTTTTAAAAAATCGCTAATATGAATTTTTAAAAATTTACTTTTGAAAACTGATATATTAGGCCTTCTATTTTGTAAAAATATGGCGTTTTTGGCTAAAAATACAGTTTATCAAGATCTACACTTTAACTCAAATCGGGTGAAAATCGCACAATAAATAAAGATTTTACAGGGGTGAGTCGCAAACAAATGGGTCACACTGTATATATAAAATACAATTTGAAACAGGTATATTATTATTTTAAATACCTATACAGTTGGAAAACGAAACAATTTTTTTTCATTAAAACTGAATTTAAAATGCTTTAACAGAACGGCCATTTCAAGCGCGCGAAACGCACTAATTACAAAACTGTTTTTATAAAAAAAATTGTATATTATTTATATTTTGGCATCAAAATTGTCAAAAATATTCTTCTTTTATTAGATTATATATTAAATAAAAAAAAACGCAAGAAATATTTTATGAAAGTAGATATAATTTTAATAATTGAAAGGGGTGGACGGGACAAAAAAAAGATTTATCTTGTCCCGTCCACCCCTGTCAATTATTGAAATTATCTCTACTTTTATAAAATATTTCTTGCGATTTTTTTTATTTAATGTATAGCCTAATAATAGAAGAATATATTTGACAATTTTGATGCAAAAATAATATTTAATAAATTACCTACAATTTTTTTTATAAAAACAGTTTTGTGATTTGTCCCGTCCATCCGCTTGAAATGACCGAGAAGTAGGTACCTACCTATTACTAAAAAAAAGAAATTTAGTAGTTTAAAACAAAATGAAATGGTTAAATTAAATTTTTATTTTGTATTTAGACTTAATTTAAATATACAGGATATCCCAAAAGTCATGAACAGCAGATAAGAGGAATTCCTAGTATATCTAGCTAGATAGAAAATGATTTTTTAAAACATTTTCTTTATGAACTGGGTAATTTATACCTATACAAAAATTACAACAATTTTTCGAGTTGGGTTTAAAAATTAAATTTTATTTTCTTTATTTTGATTTTTTAAGAATATCATTTAAGGATTAAACACAATTTTCTTATGATGTTAAAAAGTTATTATAAGATAATTGCAATTATCATAAAGTTATTATTGGTGGATATTAAAACATTTTAACATCATAAGAAAATTGTGTTTAATCCTTAAATGATATTCTTAAAAAATCAAAATAAAGAAAATAAAATTTAATTTTTAAACCCAACTCGAAAACTATTGGCCAGAAAAATTGTTGTAATTTTTATATGCTTAAAATAACCCGCTATTTTTGAACAGTATAATAAAAAAATGATATTCTACCTTGGAATTAACCTATTGTTCATATACCTATGTTTTTAATGTAAAGGCAACTAAACTAATTTAAGGCAAAGCAAAACTTACCATTTTTCCGGAACATTTCATCGTTTAACCTCTGGATCGCATTGGCTGCCTCATCTTTGGTAAAAAAACTGACGTAGGCGAACTGCCTGTTGGACTCGTAATCCGCGTTCATCATCAAACGGATTTCGTAGATGCGGCCGGCGATTTGGAAAAACTGGAAAAGTTCCCACACCGTCGCATCCGTCGGAACGTCCCTGACATAGAGCTCGGAATGATCCTCCGGGAATTCCTTGCGAGTCTTGGCCTTCGAAAAGAGTACCACCTGGTACGGGATCTTCTCCACGAAATATTCTTCGCTCATTTTCAAAATTAGTTGGCACGATAAAACAAAAAAGAAGGTGACGGGTCAAAAGACAAATTAAAACTGATGCGGTATTTCGCAATCGAGATCGCAAGGGCAGAAGACGGACATGCGTGCGCGTGCGAGCCGTTTGATTGGCCGGCGGCTTCTTTGTACCGCGAAGCCGCGGAATTTTCCAAGAACCGGCTTCTTTGCTTCTCTCGATGATTTATGGCTTTGTTTTGACGGGATTTTAGCGTTTGAGATTCATGATTTTAGAAACCTGATAGGTAATTTTATTTTTATTAAATGATAAATTTTAATATTGGCTCGTGCTACTTGGGTTTTATTTATTTTTTTAAAGTTGGATTCAAATTAATTGCAAGATTAGTTTATTTTAAAAATGTTAAATATGCATTTTCGAACCTACAACATAATTTATGTTTTTATAAATGATTTTGCTGCACGTGGCAGATTTTATGAACACTCCGATTGTTCGAAAATTATGATAAATTTATACAGGGTGACTTACTCAAAATGAACAACGTAATAGACACTAATTAGTGTTAAAACGTTTTTCAAATACCTAACTACCTAAATATTTTTAATTTAAGATTTTATTTTTGAATTATCGACTTTCTTTTGTTTTTATAGGGGTATACCGTATACCTCTATATCTTTGCTTGTTAATAGGTAGGTATTTTTGTTAAAAATCTTAACCTAACTAACCGGAAAAATTGAACCAGCGAAAAAGCCGTTTTTTGTAGCAAGAAATCATTCATTATTTTGTAAATGGATATTTTTAATGGACTTGTTTTTGCAAAAAGGACCCAACTGACCGTATATTTAACGTTAGCAGTTATTTTCTTAAATCGATTCAATGTAATGTTTAGTTTTAATGGTTTTTTTTTTGTAATAAATGTATTATCCTTAAGGATACTTTTTTTAAATTAAAATACTGTTGTTGATTGCTTTGTACCTATGTTTTAAGAAAAAAAACATTTTTCCAAGGCCTACCAAAAAACAGTTTTTTTCCCCAATTTTGTCGGTTTTTTTCCGACACTTTAAAGCTCTAATCTCAATATAACAATATTACAGAGAACGGGTTGAAAGATTGAAAGTTTTAGCTAGTTTAAATTATGTTTTTGGAAAAAATGTGCTACCCATAGGTAGTACTATAGTATGTACTACCGGTGCCGGATTAAGAGTTTTGAGGCCCTGGGGCCGACATTTGGGGGGGGCCTGAATATTTCTAAAAATTTTGACTTGGGAAATAAAAACTCATGGTAAATTTTTAAGCTAGAGGAACTTTACGTGATTTTTTATTATCTTTGAATCATTTATAATTTAATAAACCATATAAATTTTAATAAAATCGGCCAAAGCCAAAGCTATAAATAAAAAACTTATTTTTTTTAAACGAAACACCCTGTATCTCGATAATGAAGCATTTTCGGACACGTGTTTATAGGAACTTTTTTCATATTTTGATAAGAGGAATTTCCCCTGAGCTTTTGTCCCCACAAGTCTGAATCACCCTGTATATTTTGATTAATACATAGGTACATAACCTTATATACATTTTACCCAAGCCTGAGAAATTATAAATTCGTATGCAAAACTATAAAAACTTAGATAGTAGAATAGAATTGTAAATGAAATTGTTTTTATATACTTAAGTACCTATTTATATTTTATATAATATATACATATTATTTATCTTGAATAATACGAATATAACCTTATATATATTTTACTCAAGTAAAATATAAATTAATCTATGTTTTGCTTGTATTTTTTAAAAATCCGCGAAAAATTAGAGCTAGATCTACGAAAAATTAATTGAAAATTACAGGATTCGCGCGGTATAACCGACCCAATATTTTGTTTTTTCAGCAATTTTTTTCATATTTGTGTCATTAAAAAGCTACATATTGCATTGGTGGGGGCCCCTAAATGGAGGGGGCCCTGGGGCCGTGGCCCCGCTGGCCCCATGCTAAATCCGGCCCTGGGTACTACTATAGAGTGGCACATTTTTTTCTTTAAAAATAATTCAAATTAGTTTGTGTATGTATTTTTTTTGTATATGTCAAAATTCATTAATAAATAGGACCTATAGGTGACCTATAATAGGTCCTATATTTAATAGGTAAGTATCAAAATTTTGAAATACCTACTTACATAACTACAGTCAGGGCCGGGCCTAAGGGGGGTGTAGGGGGTTAGTCACCCCCCCCCAAAGTCTTGGCAGTTGGTTCCAAATCCAAACACGGTTGGCAAAATCTATAGTATTTGGGTCGGTTGGTTGGGTATACCTACCCTACCAACCAACCCATCACAATAAATAAAATGAAATATAATTTTTAAACTTTACCTACATATTACAAAATTATAATTTTTAATCTATTGTAACCTCCTATAACACAGTGCAACAGTGCAAAAGGGAATGGGATGAAACCAAAAGCAAATGAAAGGTAATAGCTTCTACAAAAAAACCCTATGAGGTTTTTATTAGATCACGTCTCAGTTTTTTATTATACGCATTTAAAGTTGGTAGATTTTTGGACACCCTATAATGGGAAAAAAATAAGTAAAACAATTTTAATTTTTTTTAATTATTCTGGGAAAATAATCGAGGAATCCATTTCAAGTAAAGAGCATTTTTACTAGAAAATTGGGCATTTTTATAAAAAAAAATATTCTCTTTAATTCTTTAATCAAAACACAATACTTGTATACAAAAACTACATTTTTTGTGGTAATATATTGTAATATATCGATGGTATTTTTGCAAAAGGGCGAATATGCCATTTTCCTGTTTTGATAAAAAAAAAAGTATTACGGCGTATTCGCCCTTTTGAAAAATATTATTACTACAAAAAATTGCAGTTTTTGTAGCAAAAACGAGGTTGTTTAAAGGTAAAATTGATTTGTTTAAGTACTTAAAAACACATAATATTATGTACTATATAGTAAATCAGTGACAGCAACAAAAAAATTTTACGTTTTTCTTAATTAATATACTTAATTAAATTATTATTTTTATTTAAAGGACAATATAATATAAAACAAAACTTAGTTCCAAAATATAAAAATGTAAAAAATTGTACCTACAATATTACGGTATACATATAATTGAATATATTGAAAAGTTTGCAGAACTTGTAATAACAATTTAATTAAATGATCACAAAAGAAAAAGAAGTCAATGAAATTTGGTGTTCCAATGTTGTGGTATAATTCAGGTATTTTTTTATTTTTATACTAAAACATGGTATTTTTGATTATAATAATTATATTTTGCATTTTTATCAATTTTTGGATGAACAGCTGGAACTTTTGGTACTTGTGTTACTGCCGGTTACAGCAGTGATAGTTTTTAAATAAAAATAAAATAGCGAATTTAATGTTTAGTTAAGAAGTAAAAATGCTATTTTTTCTTAAAAAAACAAGTTTTCTATACTAATAAATCCAAAATATTAAAAATTGCTTTCGAATATCACCTAGGGTATATTTTACAACAAACGGATGACAAAAATGGATTTCTTACCTTCAAAAATAGTAAAAATTAGTAACAATTTTTTGATAGCGTCCTCTTCTGAGGGTCTTTGGTAAAAATTAACATCACAAATAGATTCCTCGATCAAATTGACAAAATTATTTTGAATAATTAACATAGTTTTACTTATGTTTTTCCTATAGGGTGTCAAAAAATTTACCATCTTTAAATGCGTACAAAAAAAAAACTGAGACGTGATATAAAAAAACCCTGATAGTGGTTTCTTGTGGAAAGTATTAACTTTCATTTGCTTTTGGTTTTATTCCATTCCCTTTCGCAAACCTTAATTTTGTATCACAGTGTAATCGTTACCGTCAAGAAAATTGTATTGGTCAACCTTATTTTCATTAAAGGACATTATATTTCACACAAGCGGCATGTACAGGGTGGTCCACGTAAGGTGACCCATATACTTATCTCAGAAACTACTGGAGTCACAAAAAATTTGTAGGGAACAAATATTCACGAAGTAAAATTATTTTTAAAATATTATATTTTCATTTATACAGGGTGTTCGGTTTTCCTTGGGACGATACCAACTTTCTTATTTTCAATGGAACACCCTGTATTTTTTTGCATTTTTGGATTCTTCCCACTCTTTTAGGTATACTTTTTAAATATATTAAATAATAAAATGTTAATACTTTTTGAGTAAAATTAAGATTTATTAAAATTTCTCTAAATGTAGACACTCGCTAAAAGTTAAAAATAACCAACTAAAAGTTATTATTTTTTATATTATGTAGTATCTATCTCTTTAATAATAAGTAAGCTATAAGTTAATTATTATATTTTTTGGAAAATATTATACAGGGTGTTTTCTATGTCCCGTTGAAAATAGCGATTTTAAAAGTTTAAAATCTTGTTTTTATTCAATGGAACACCCTATATATTTTTACATAATTGGATAGAATAAGTAATTACCTTTCATTTTATATATATATGTCCTATACCTAAACCTAACAGAAAAAAAAATATTCGCATTTTTCACAATTAGTAGCTTTTTTTCCAATTACCTTAGTTAAATTTTCATTATTCAAAGAAAACACCCTGTATAATATTTTCCAAAAAATAAATTAATTAACTTATAGCTTACTTATTATTAAAGAAATGAATGCCACATAATATAAAAAATAATAACTTTTAGTTGGTTATTTTTAACTTTTAGCGAATGTCTACATTTAGAGAAATTTTAATAAATCCTCATTTTACTTAAAAAGTATTAACATTTTCTTAATTATTATATTTACAAAGTATACCTAAAAGAGTGTGTAGAATCCAAAAATGCAAAAAAAATATAAACACCCTGTATAAATGAAAATATAATATTTTAAAAATAGTTTTTACTTCGTGAATATTTGTTTCTTACAAATTTTTTGTGACTCCAGTAGTTTCTGAGATAAGTATATGGGTCACCTTACGTGGATCACCTAAAAAAAATATTCGCATTTTACAAAATTAGTAGCTTTGCGCGTATGGTAATTATTATAGTAATATATATTTATATATAAAAGCATTTTTATTTGTTGTTATTGAAATTTATTTATTTGAATAATGAAAATTTAACTAAGGTAATTGGAAAAAAGCTACTAATTGTGAAAAATGCGAATATTTTTTTTTCTGTTAGGTTTAGGTATAGGACATATATATATAAAATGAAAGGTAATTACTTATTCTATCCAATTATGCAAAAATATATAGGGTGTTTCATTGAAGAAAAACAAGATTTTAAACTTTTAAAATCGCTATTTTCAACGGGACATAGAAAACACCCTGTATGATATTTTCCAAAAAATATAATAATTAACTTATAGCTTACTTATTATTAAAGAGATGGATACTATATAATATAAAAAATAATAACTTTTAGTTGATTATTTTTAACTTTTAGCGAGTGTCTACATTTAGAGAAATTTTAATAAATCTTAATTTTACTCAAAAAGTATTAACATTTTCTTAATTAATATATTTACAAAGTATACCTAAAAGAGTGGTTGGAATCCAAAAATGCAAAAAATTACAGGGTGTTCCATTGAAAATAAGAAAGTTGGTATCGTCCCAAGGAAAACCGAACACCCTGTATAAATGAAAATATCATATTTGAAAAATATTTTTTACTTCGTAAATATTTGTTTCTTACAAATTTTTTGTGACTCCAGTAGTTTCTGAGATAAGTATATGGGTCACCTTACGTGGACCACCCTGTACAAAGTCGGCACCGCCTCGCGGCTTTGTCTTTCTAAATTATTAATTAGTTGAAGCTAATCTAAGCTAAGTAAAACTAGTGTCAATAAATAGGAATTAATTTTTTTTTAATATGGAAAAGAAAGCTAGACCGGGCCGAGTTCTAGTAAAATGCTCATTATGTGGATCTGTTTAACAAGGACTAGAAAAAAATGCACGAGGAAAATATTTACGGTGGAAATTTGGTTAAAATTAAAATTGTTACTGTTCCGGATAATCCACTTACATTGGTAGCAAATAAAAAAAATAAAGACTTCAAAAGAGCATGCTAATGGTAGGTAAAGACATTCTTTATCTACACTTTACAACACTTTACATTCATGATAAAACTACTGAAAATTTTTACTATTACTACTTAAGTATCGATAAAAAAATAAGTTGGTTTTTTTTATCGTCTCCACCCCCCCAAAAAAGTGTGCCTCGGTACGCCCCTGACTACAGTTTGTCCCATTAGTTTGCGACTCACCCTGTAAAATCTTGGATTTGTTTTAAAGTTTATATTAAACTGTATATTTGGAGCAAAAACGCTATATTTTTACAAAATACAAGGGGTACTATCAGGGCCGTATTAAGGCAATTTGTCTCCCTAGGCCAATAATAAAGGCGCTTATAATTACAGCCCATATTAGTACCTATGGTATTAATATAACACAATACATGGTAGCCGACAGGGGTGCACATAGGGGGACAAGTAGGGTTTTATAAAAAAATAAATAAAAAAAACATTTATTTTTATACATAGGTATAGAAAAACAAAACAATGAAGAACTATGTAACTTAATTTTTACAATTTTTGAATATCCTAAAACAGAATTTTACCTATAGCATTTTGTCGTTGATACTGAGCCAGATCACGTCAAGTGGACCCTCCATTTTCCACTTGGAAATATAATTTAAATTTTAATACATCAATCGTTAGTTGTTATTAGTAACAATTTTTCCTTAAAATATATTTTTTTTAAAAGTTTTTTATGACAAAGATTTTTTTAACTTTTAATTAAAAAATTAATTGTGAAAGAACTGTTGACAGTCGGGTTGTGAAATTTTCAAGACTTAGAGGCTAATATATCTATTTTTATAAACAAATAAAAAAATATTTTTTTTTAATTTTTTTTATTCTTTTTTGATCTTAGAAATATACAATTAAAATTTTTGATAAAGTCTCTATCAAATAATCAAGTTTTTTTTTTCATGGTTACATGTACTGGATATTAAAGTTCTTCTGCTTCTATAGATGGAAGAGCTAGATTTGCAATCTTCTTGTCTACTATATAGCATGCATGCATATGCAACTGCGTTGAATTTTTTTATTCTTTTTAAGAAAGAAAAAGATCATTCTCCTGTACAGTTTGTAGCAGGAAATCATAAAAATTCTCAAAACTATATCCATTAGACTGGGCCAAAAAAATCGACTATTTTTTTTGTAAAGTTTATCGAAAATATTGTTTGGGGTGACAAAAAAAATTATGGTGAAAGTTAGAGTCCATAATATTAAAATTATAATTTTAATATTATGGACTAACTTTCACCATAATTATAAGAGGTCTTTCATCGCAATTTTAGATTTTTTTTTCATGAGCGAGTTTTTGTCTCAGAACTCCCAAACCATTGAGTTTAACAAATTTGACTTAAGAATATTTTTTAAAGAAAATTGAATGCTCTATAAAAAAGGTTAAATTGGAATTTCCCGTCAGATGAACCGTTTTCTTACAATCATACCTTAAAAATTTATAGTTTTACAATTTGATCTTTTAACTTTGGAATTTTGTAATTCATGTAAAAATCAGTACTGATAAATATTCTTATGGGAAATCAAATTCTCATTCAATTTTGGCTAAATTCACTCCATCAAAAGTTATTCAAGGTTAAATTTGAAGTCAAAACGAAATTTTAACCTTGAATAACTTTTGATAGAGTGAATTTAGCCAAAAATGTTGAGAGGCTTTTTTTTATAGAGCATTTGATTTCCCATTAGAATATTTATCGTTTTTTTTTCAGGGTACTGATTTTTACATGAATTACAAAATTCCAAAGTTAAAAGATCAAATTGTAAAACTATACCAATTTTTAAGGCATGATTGTAAGAAAACGGTTCATCTGACGGGAAATTCTAATCAAACCTTTTTTGTAGAGCATTTAATTTTCTTCAAAAATTATTCTTAAGTTAATTTTGTTAAACTCAATGATTTGGGGGTTTTGAGATAAAAACTCGCTCAGGAAAAAAAAATCTAAAATTGCGATGATAGACCTCTTAATACTAATATTATGGACTCAAACTTTCACAATAATTTTTTTTTGTCACCCCAAACCATATTTTCAATATACTTTTCAAAAAAAAAAAATAGTTGATTTTTTTGGCCCAGTCTAATATCCATATTGGGAAATGTTGAAGTAATGATTTTCTTCTTAATTAATTAGACCATATGACTAACTTGGATTCTTCCACATTGAATAAAACGTTTGATAATTATAATTATTTATTTTAATTGATTAATTTTAAATTAAACCTACTTAAAAAAAATTGGCTTCGCCAACTATGTCAGTTTTTTAGAGTAAATTTCTATCTATGCACGGCACTGGATTTACTACCCCTCAAAACGACCCTACTACATTTTAAGTAAGAACGATTTTGTAGAAAAATTAAAATTTATTCTGTTATCCATAAAAAAAGAGCGAAATAAAATTAAAATAATAGTAACATAGTATAAACTTTCTTATGCTTAGTTTTGACAAAAAGGCAATAGAAACTTAAAACAACAATGAAACAAAAAATAGGGAATTCAAAAAATTCTCTACGATTAGATTTACACAAAAAAATAGTAGATACTTGGGTATAAATTAAAAATGTAAAAAATTTGAGAATATCATATTCTGATGTGACCCCACTGGTTTGACTAGACAATAAGTGAAATTATTACCTATGTAAAATTCCGCAAATATTTTATACCTGTCATGTTATACCTAATTATTACTTACCTTGAAAAATAATCTTTTGAAGAAAGGTTGCCTAACAAAATTTAAAAAACAATATTTTTTTTTATTATTTTTATTCAAGACAAATCTTCGATACATTATTCCTTAAATTTTAAATACTATTATATTAAACCTATAGGTACTATAGTAAAAAATGTTATTACTTAAAATATTTAGAACAAAGTAGATTAAAATGTTAAAAGTGATATGGGGGTTTTTGAAATATTTAATGAATGACAATTATTTATAATTTTTAAGAGCATACATATGTACATATAAAAAATGTATGTTAAAAATATTCATAAGAAGGACAAAATGTTAAACGTGGATAAAAACGTTTTAGACACAAATTAGAACAAAATGGATTGATAATTTAAAAATACGAATAAAAGGTAATAGATTAAAATGTTAAATAAAAGTAGACAAAAGCGTTAATTCAGAAGACAAATTTTACATTATCAAAAATTTAGAATAAATAAACTTCTGAATTCATTTCAGACGAACTTTCGCTTCCTTCTATTGGCAAAATGTTTGCTTTATTGGGTTCAGGAACTCGTTTTTTATTAGAAATTCCCTTTATTTTTTCGTGGACCAAACGGCGTAAGCATAGTGGAACGTTGCTGAAAGAAAAAGTTTTTTATTAATTTATTAGTTAATTAGAACAGTTTGATTTTCACTTACGTGCAAAAATTTTGCGGCCCGTTTGTTAGTCGTTTTTTTTTGCTGAAATTTCTCGGTATGGCCCATTCAATCGAAATTTGGACCTGGTTTATTTTCAATCCTAAATTAAACAAAAAAAAACAATTAATTATAAAAAATAATATTCAGTGGCATTTTTTCCACATAAATTGTTACCAACTTACCGGTTAACTTTTGAAGACCGATTTCGGCATTTTTCCGGTTGGTAAAATGTATGAACGCGTAATGGTCCATTTTGTAAGTCTTCTTAATGGTTTCATTTCCAAGGTAGTTGACAAGTATGGCTTGAAGTTCAATGTTGGTAAATTCTGGGGGTAGATTTTTCATAAAAAGGATCCTTACCTGAAATTGACATATAATGAAATTCACTGCACCCTGTATATGCTAATATTAAAATCTCAATAAAAATGTTTACCATTGCAACACATTTGAATTGTTTAAGAACAGTACAAGTCCAAAAGTTAAAATTTTGACAAATTATTTCTATTTAATAAAATTTAATTATCACATTTTGTAAAATAATTTATATATTCTTACAAAACGATTTGTCAATATAAAAATGTTAATTTCACCGATTAAATTAATATACAGGGTGGCCCATCGAAAACATTTCAGCAATATTTACGGTTTTGTATGTGAAAATTAAAAAAATATTCGGACCCGTATACTTTTGTTTTCAGGGAGACATATTTACACATTAATTTCATTACTTTTAACCCCATAAGTTGACAAATCGACTCTATCTTCAGTAAAGTAGTTGATGTGGATATTTCGTTATTTATGTGCTTTTATTTTCTTTGATTCTATTGCGGAGAGAGTGGAAATTATTGAATTGTATTTTTTTATAAACAATCAATGTGCAAGAGTAAACTAAAAGAAACTACAAATTACTATTATTTATAAACCACAGGGCTCCCACGGCTAAATTACAAATTTTATTTAGGAATTTAGAAGGTTTTTTGGAGAATTTTAGGAGCAATGAAGTATGAAAATGAATTTCTGTAATTAAATAAAAGCAACTCTACACTGTACTTAAAAAATAAACAATTCTTTTTAACAAAAATATAAAGAAATATCACTTCTTTTGTACAAATAAGTTACATTGACTAGTTTTTTAGCCAAATCGCTCAACGAGTTTTTTTTAATTAAAAGTGATTAAAATTACTACCTTTGTATATATCTGAGGTATATGGTTAATTTTCAAAATTCTTGTACATTTAAGTAGATATGTAAAAAAACGGTTTTTTTCAGATGTGAAAAAAAACATGAAAAAAAATGAAATTTTGAGTAAAATATATACTTATTAATAATAAAGTGAAATGTAGAATATATTAAATTTTTCATTATTGAAAATTTTGACCGAGACTAAAAAATCTGATTTCTTATTTGGTAGTTTCCTCATTAGTAAGCAATAGCAATGTAAAACTTCTACACCAATACAAAAAATTAAAGGATAAAAAAAATTGTTTTGCGATTCTTTCGGATTCGGATTCTTTGTTAAAAATGGTCGTATTGGAGCCGTAAAAAAAGCAATTTGAAGCTTGAAGTTTCTAGTTTTGAGATTTTTAGATGAAAAATCTGCAACGCTCAATCCTAACAAATACCGTAATAAAAAATCGATTTTTTTGGCTTTCTGGTCCACGGAATGTTCTGACTTTACCACCAATGAATAAATGTTCTACATGAATTTGCTATTGTTTTTTTGAAAAAAATATTCCATACTCTACATGAATTTGAAAAATCATGAAAAAAGTGCTTTTGGTAGCTTTTTGAAAAATCAAGCGCTGAATCAAAAATATTATATGTAGTTACTTTTTTTAGGACCAAATCAAAACAAGCGCGGCCCTTATTGGTCAATTCGGTGGTGGTGGCGCGTGCATAGCGCGAGACTGTATTTACATTTACTAATTGTCATTTAGGGGCAGTTGGATTTTTTTTAAAAAGCCCTTAAACAAAAATAGACGGATCACAAATTTACTAACATTAAAAAAAACTTATTTAATTATTAATCCTTTTAAGGTTTTATTTACACTAGAATTTGAAAAAGATTTATTATCTATAAAAAAAATTTGAGTACAAAACTATAGTTAGGTATAAGTAGGTAAAAGCAAAAACTATGTTCTATTTTTTAACTTTCTTACATAAGTATATTTAATATATTTTCTGGATTTAAAAAATGTCCATTAAAAAAGTGAGAAATTTTCATTTAATGCGTATTAGAAACGTTTTTTTTCGAATTTTTATCTTTAGCTTGTCCAATTTAACGAGCAATAAATTAATAAAAAGTTTTAGTTATTAGTAATATTAAAAAACTAATAAAAAAGTCAATATAAACATTGTCTCGTTGAACTACCAAAAATTTACAGATTCTTTGAGGCAAAATACATTGACTAGGAAAATTACAATTAAAAAGTTGGAGGAAATTATTTTAAATTGGCTACGTACTGTCAGAAACAGAAAAGGTGGAAGGTCGAAAAAAAATGTTTTTAAAACTTTCTAAGTTTAATATTATTTCAAAAATTTATTATAATTTATTTCTTTGAAATTGTCCCCTGGGTCACATAACTTTCCCCTGGGTCACACAATATGTGTTCCAAGAGACCTGTGAACCAGGGGAAAAATGTATGTTTTTAGAACATAACCTCTTTACTGTTTTAATGATAAAAATTTGTATTTTTGCCCTTAAAACCATTACTAGGTTACTTACTTTTGATAATCAAACAAAGTCCAACTGGTAACTTTACTAATTTTTATTACTGTGACACAGGAGAATGCACAGTTTTGCCACGCTGGTATAAAAAATACAAAAAAAACTTTAGGGGTATTTTAACCACTTGTATTTTTAAATATTAACACAAATGGGCTTTTTCTATAATATTTATAATAAATATTCTCAACTATATAAAAAAAGGATGTTTTTTTACTCCAAGGTGTTTAAATAGCATTAAGTAGTGAATATTATTGCGAGTGGGACAGCTACTTTTTTGTACTGTGTGGGAAAGTTTAATTTTATTGATAGGGATAGATTTAAAATTTTACAATTTTGCTAAAAACACTTAAACCAACTGATTTCGCTTAGTAAAGTTCCAAATGGCGTTAAACTCAATTTTTTATAAAACATTATAGTTGAGGTACAGCAAATGTACAAGAAATTTGAAAATAACCAAATACCCCATATACACACGAATTTAATAAACTATGACCTAAAAATATATATCTTTTAAATTACTAATTTAATTAAACGCAATCAGGTTGCCTATTTATATTTAATTTTTTAAGATTTAAGCCAAATTTTAGGAATTTTATGAGTTTTCCATAAAAGTTTATCTTTCTGACAGAATTTATAATTTACTGGCAAATCGGCAACACTGCTTAAGACGTACACATCATCAACTTACCTTCGACATGACCCCGGTATCAACCTCAGGTAGCGGATCGGCCCAATCAACGTGCAGAGTGTGGCCCCAGGCGACTAGATTCTCCGGGGAAAGACGCCTTCGAGCCATGGCGGCAAACCGGTGGCTCTCGAACTCGACGAAGACGAAACCGCGGTTTAATTTTTCGTCGGCAACGTCCGCGTACATGATTACGTCCGAGATGCCTTCCACGAACTCCGAGAGCATGTAGTACACGTCGAATTTGGACTTTTCCCTCGGGATGTTGCCTATGAATAGTGAACGTTTTGTTTTTTTTTTAAAACATGTTTTTTTAGAAAAAAAAACAAAGGGGTTTGTTTTTTTTCAAAAATGTTTTTTTTCAGAAACATTGTTTTTCCTTAATAGAGATTATACTAGACCAGTGCAGAAGCCTTTAAAAATGGTAAAAAGAGAAAAAAAATAACAGTAGGATGAAACCCATTGGAAAAGGAGGGGAATATAATAAAAATTAAAGGAAAAATAAATTACGGGCGATCTGAGTTCGGGAAGTGGGAGGGGGGGGTTTAAGGGTAAAAAATGGTTTATCTCGATTTCCCGCAAAACTACAAGTCCTATGGAAAAAAGTTAAATGTCAAAGTTGTAGGTAATAAAAAGATCTACAACTTTTGTATTTACAATTTTTTCACATAACCTCAAAATTTATGTGAAAAATTCAAAAAAACAAGTTTTTGGTTTTTTATTTTTTCCACGAAATTTGGTGAAAACTTACCTTTTTATGTCCCAAATACACTGTAATTTATTTGATTTGAAATATTTATTATTTCGCCTTATTTTGACTTAATATCAAAAAAGCACCCTAATTTTCAATCGAAAATTCTCGCGTCAAAATATCAGCTTTTTTCAAAAAGTCGGTGTGCTTTTTGTTCGATGAACTCTCTACTTTCTGATGGTGTAAAAAATATACATTACTATACAAAAAATATTATAATGAATAACGTAATCAGAATGAAGTATCTAAATTCAATAGTATGATATAAAATATAAAAATACATGTAAGATTTTCTGACATAAATGTTATTAGAATTTAATAAATAAACTTTTTAACTAAAAAAAATTGCAACAATCACATTTTTTTGATGAAATTGTACAATGATTAAAATAAATTTTCGAATTCGAGTTTTTTTCGTAATTCATTATAATTTTTTGCATTTTCTGAGAACATTTACCATAGTAATGTAGGTATATTTTTTACACCATCAGAAAGTAGAGATTTCAACACACAAAAAGCACATCGACGAAAAAGATATTTTGACGCGAGAATTTTCGATTGAAAATTAGGGTGCTTTTTTGATATTAAGTCAAAATAAGGCGAAATAATAAATATTTTAAATCAAATAAATTACAGTGTGTTTGGGACATAAAAAAGTAAGTTTTCACCAAATTTCGTGGAAAAAATTTTTTTTTGAAAAAGATAAAAATAAAAAACCAAAAACTTGGTTTTTTGAATTTTTCACATAAATTTTGAGGTTATGTAAAAAAATTGTAATTACAAAAGTTGTAGATCCTTTTATTACCTACAACATTGCCATTTAACTTTTTTCCATAGGACTTGTAGTTTTGCCGGAAATCGAGATAAACCATTTTTTACCCTTAAACCCCCCCCTCCCACTTTCCGAAGTCAGATCGCCCGTAATTTATTTTTCCTTTCATTTTTATTATATTCTTCTCCTTTTCCAATGGGTTTCATCCTACTGTTATTTTTTTGGTTTCAAAAATTATCGACCCTGGTCTATAAGGGAAAAAAATAAGTTTAAAGCAGAAAAATTTTGAAACTTTAAAATGGGTAATCGTTATTTATAATAGAGGGTTTTAAATAAAAACACCAAATAAAAACTTGCTTCTAAAATAAACATACATGAGTGTCTATGAAAATTAAAACTTAACTGAAATAGTTTTTATGTATAAAATTTTTATAAAACAAAAAAACGAACGCTTTTTTAATAATTATTATTATAAAACTGTTTTTTATAATTTGAAAAAAAAACAGTGTGCAAGTTTTTTTATGATTTGAAAAAAAAACAATGTTTTGTTTTTTTTCTGAAAAAAATATGTTTTTTTTAAACATTTTTTTTCAAATTTGAAAAAAAAAACGTTTTTTTACATCACTACCTACCTATGAAGAGGCGGCAGTTGTCTACGGACTTGTAGACGGCGATTTTCACCCGCGGGCGTATTTCGTAGTCGTTCAGCTTTTGCACCGCCAAATTGGCGTCTTCTTTGTTGAAATACGTCGCGAAAGCGTACCCGCGGGTCTTCTGGTTAAACTCCATCATAATTCGGAATTTGTATAGAGGCCCCACTTTCGAGAAAATCGGAATCAAGATGTCTTCGAAAACTGTTTTCGGGATTCTTCCTATGAACACTTCGCAACCTCTGGGCGGTGTTTTGACCTTCACCATGGGAGAATAAATGCGTTGCCCGTTTTCCTGCACAATTTTATAGCCCGTTTGATTGCACAGCCCCATCAAATTCCTATAAATTTTTTCGTTTTTGCTGAAAATTTCCGTTGAATCCATAATACGATAAAATAAAACAACACTCCTGCACCACTGACTGAAATAAGCCAACTATATTGTTTTTCTTTGAAGAGTGGTGGGGTGGAGCCATGACGTTTCATCAAGATGCATTTTGATTGGCAAATGCACTTATTCATTTGTTACCAAGCCAGTTTTATAATTTTTGGCCTTGTCTCCGTTATGCCAACTAAATATTTAATTTATGCGGTTTTTTTTCGATTGTTTTGACTAGGGATACTTCGAAGAAGCAGGTTGGTTTTAAACAAAATAAGAGCAAATATTTTATAGAAACTTTATTTAAAACGTACAAAAATTACTATAAATCCCGGACACCAATATAATTATATTATAAAATTTCACTATTAAAAATAGGAAAGTAAAAATTAAGTATATGTTGTTAAAACTATATCTATAATTATAAAAGAACAATAAAAATTGCGTAAATTTAAAATAATAATAATAAATAATCATTTCATTGTTGGATAGGTATCATCCAAAGCTATTGCCGGAACTATACATATAGTTATTGGTATTTTATTCAATAAAATTTAAAACAAGGCTGGTAAAACTGTCCAGTGGACAGTGTCCACTATTTAGATACTGGGAAAATAGAGTGGTTTAACTCACAAATTTTGTTTGGGCGTTATTACATGATCGACGTTTGGGGTTTTTTAATTTTCGTCACTGTCGTGGGATGATTGACCGTCGGAGCCGTGGTTTCTGTTGCGGTATTTCGAACCAATCCCATTTTCCCTCATTTTTTGCTCAACAACTCGACGTGTACTAGGTGCAACGGATCTGAAACACAACAAAAAGTTCCCAAATAAAAAGAATAATTAAATATTGGACGAAGCATTGTTTATTTATCCTAAATATATTTTTATTCCTGACACATAAAGTTTTACCAAAGTAAATTTATCGTTATTATTTCGACTATTTAGATGTAAAAAACTAGAGATGGGAAAATTCCCATTTGACGAAAATTCCCGGAAACTTTCCATCGAAAATTCCCGAAAGTTTCAATTTTTTTTTTATAGTGAAATTTTTTTTTTATCCCAGGGATTTGCAAAAATATATAACACATTAACTTTTTGTCAAATTTTAAGAAAAAAAATGTTTATAAGAATGTAAATAAAAATAAAATGTTTACTATTAGAAATTCACTGCTAGTAATTCCTAGATATTACGTAAAAAAAATTAAACGGGACAAAGTACTAACTAATATATAGGAATATTGAAAAATAAAAGATACTAAAAATGGTATTGCAGTTTTGACTGATAAAATATGAAAAAAAAATAAAATTAACATTTCTGACTAGTAGTGAATACCATTGCACATAAAAAAATAGCAAAAGTAAAAAACACAAAATAGGATTTTCATTGAGGTTATGTAGGGTCATTCCACTTTACTCGGGGATTCTTGTCCCGCCCGTCACAATTAAAAATTGTGAGTAAATACTACACGTTATAAAATGTATTTAAAAATATTGTTTTATTATGCTTTTAATAAGTTATAAGCACAATAAAAATAATATTATAAAATATTAATTTTATAACTTGTGGTTTTTACTCACAATTTTTAATTGTGACGGGCGGGACAAAAATTACCGAGTAACGTGGAATGCCCCTGTAACATAACTTACTGTCTGTCCATTCTAAGTTGGCGGAACTAAGGAATTTTGTGGTTTAGATATTAAAGAATTGTCGTACTGTGTGCTTTTAAAACAGATTTTACATTATAAATAATACTAGTACATATTATATACTAGTATTATTTATAATATAAAATCTGTTTTAAAAGCACACAGCACGACAATTCTTTAATATATAAACAACAAAATTCCTTAGTTCAGCCAACTTAGAGTGGACAGACAGTACATTATTTATACTTCTTCTTCTGATAACACACATTAAATTCTTATTCAAAGTTTCTTGGCCTTGTATCATGGCCTTAACGAAAATCAGCGGTTAAACAATCGACATTTAAATTAAAAAAACAAGGAAAGTTTCCAAGGAATGTTTCCAAGGAATGTTTCCGGTAGCTTAAAAGAAACTTTCAAAATGAAAATAAATTCACAATTGGAAACTTTCCAAAACGGAAAGTTTCCTTAAAATGGAAACTTTCCGATTCCCATCTCTATAAAAAACAATATACCTATTCACTATTAATAAAAAGTATTAGCTACACAGTTTGTTTTCTCAGTGTAGAATTGTGGTTAGGTATCTGTCACTGATTGTGGAATTAAGGTTATTTATTATTTGAAATAATAATAATAATAATAATTTATTTCTGATCATCACGACCGTATGCTGCGTTGTCAGATGGTATTCAAATTGTTATTTTAACTTTTTTTTAAATTTTAGAATAGTTGGGAAAAAAATTAATAGGCAAAAGTTGTTCCAAATAACTAAAAGTTATATTATTGTATATAATTTAAACTTAATTATTTAAGAGATTTTTAACAAAATTTTACAAAAAAATCAACTAAGTTGTAGGGTTTCAACTGGATGAAGCACCAGTTTATTGGAGAGTCTCCAATGGAGACAATAAAATATAAAATTTATATTATGAAATATTTTAATAACAAAAATGCGTAACTGTAACAATTTAATAAACCTAAATATTTTAGCACGGCTAAATTACAAATTTTATTCAGGAATTTAGGAGGTTTTCTGTACAATTTTAGGAAAAATAAAGTAAGGAAATGAATTTCTCTAATTAAATAAAAACAACTCTTTATTACTTAAAAAATAAAAAAATATTAATACTTCTTTTGTAAAAATAAGTTATATTGACTAGTTTTTTTAAATAAAATTAAAAGTGAGATAAAATTACTACTTTTGTATATATCTGAGAAACAAATATATATATACAAGTATAAATTTCACCAAACTTTTAATTTTATTTAAAAAAATGCGTCGACAGATTTAGTTAAAAAACTATGCCAAAATCAAATGATGTTATATTTATATTTTAAGAAATAATATTTTAACCGTTTAGTTAATAAGTGCTAGTCCAAAAGTAAAATTTTTGATAAAATATTTCAAAAAATTCAGTTTTATAGTTCTAAATGCATTTTAGTTAGAATTGTCAAAATTAAATTTTTGGACTTCGTACTGTTCTTATTTTCACCGATTCAATTGTAATGTGGATCTTAATACTTAAAAATCTCATAACAAAATATGAAGTTTGCAAAATACAGCAAAACATTCTTTAGATTGTTTACTATTTTAGCTGTCATTTACAAGAAAATTAAAAATCCTTTTGTTTGATATAATATAACACGGTATATTTTTGTCTAAAACAAACGAAATATGGCTAAAAATGACATTTTTGTAGAATTTTATGTTGTTGTTTTTTAAGAAAAATTTTGGTTGTGATATTATATCATTTTAAAAAGAATTTAATAAAATAAAACCTAAAAATATATATAATACTTTTTAAAAAAGAATTTTTTTATGTTGGCCTATTTAAATTTAATTTTTAGGAGTTTTAGGAGATTGAATGCAATTTTAGGAGATTTCAAGATTTAAGCAAAATTTTAGGAATTTTATGAGTTTTAGGAGGTGTGGGAGCCCTGTTTTAGTCAAGAAGAGCAACTTATAATGTAGAAGTGAAAATTAAGAAATGCTTGAATGTAAATGGAGGACACTTGATAAATTAGTTATAAAAATTGTTAATTAAAATATTTTTAATTTATTAAATTGTTTTTGTTATTAAAATATTTCATAAAATTAATTTTATAATTTATCTATTTTGCGTTCACAATTTCTTTTATTTTATGATTTTTCTAGTACTTACGAGACTTTTCTGGCAATAAATTTTGTTTAACACCCAAGAAAATCCCTTTTTTTAAACATTAACAGCCGCTTATTGTAAATAAGTAAATTAAGGACGGCACGGCGAATTGATTTTGACATTAACTGTCTTGTTCTTTAATATACTGATAATTATCAGTATATATTATAATATTTATATATATTATAATATTTATATATTATAATATTTATATCATTATAATGAAGTTCCTTATTATACTATTATTCTCTCCAATGAGCTATAGCTCTATAGAGCTGTTAATTTTAAAATCAAAAAGTTATTAATCTCTCAAGTTAGCCTAATTAATTTGCCCTGAGTTTTCTCAGGTAAATTTGTTAAAAAAAGAATTGACATGGAATCTTTTAAATAATGTTTTAAAATTCCAAAAATTTCCACTGCCATATCCGCAAACCTAATAACAAAAAAAAAATAATTCAAAAACTATTTACTTTAGGTATACATGGTATAGTAATAAATTATTTTACTTGAAATTTTATATAGAATTTAAAAATGTAAAAATATATGGAGTGTTCTATTTGAAATAACAAAGTTGAAGTCACTTCCGGTTAAACCGGATTGGGATTTGGGTTGTGAGTGTTTTTGATATGGAAAGTTTCAATATTTGAACTTATTTGGTAGAGTGCACCACCTGCACAATTTTTTTTAAAACACTTAACTTTTGTATGCTTGGCTTAATCTAATTTTTTCTTTGAAATATGGCTGCCTTGATAACTTTTGCTCAAAATAAAACTTTATTTTCATACCTTAAGTTAAAATCAAGTAGTCCAGATGAATCACCAACGTCACTGTCGTTATTTACGTGACGTTTATGGTTTATCAATACATATTATTATTATATTATATAACTTTAGGTAGTTAAATAAAGTTTTATAAAAATGGCTTATTGACAAAATTATGGCCAGATCAAAAAAAAAATCAACTTTATCTTGGTTACTGTGGACTTTTTTATTAAAAATTTTTGTATAAAGAATATGATGTTAAATTATTTTCGATTATTTATGGGATATGAAATAAGCAGATTTTTCTTCTGATTAAAATGGCAAAAACAGAAAAACAATTTAACGTCGGGTTTCCGAAATACATATTCACAAAAAACATTTTTTTAAATATTTTTACAAATTTTGAAAAACAATTTAATTTGGAACAAAAAATTATTATTGCATAGCTACCCTAACCTAAAAATAAACAATGATACCTACACCAAAAAACAAAGTAAGCCAGGATTTTATCCTGTTTACCATTGAAAAGAGCGGGAAATTGTAGCCAAAAAATGGGATTTTTAAAAATTCGACACAATACTTAAGTTGTATACAGTGTGATTTATTAATATTGCGAAAATAATCAGGATAAGATTTTTTGTATAAAAATAAGAAATCACTTCGTTTACGAAACAAATTTTAAAATATTCAGGGTGATTCACTTAACTTATTCATTAGAAGTTTATGGAGGACGGAAAAATATATGATTAGAAATTTGCGAATCTACAGTATTTTTTAAAATTATTTTTAACTTTGTTTTTTCAAATGAAACCATATAAATATTAAATAATGCAATATTGCATTTTTAAATTCTACGTAAAATTTCATAAAAAAAGTTTATATTTTTTTATTTTTACAGTTTATAAGATATTTTGACAGATCTTTTTTTTCAATATAATTTTTGAACTTAATTGATAATTCTTTAACCGTTGTTTAATACGAAATAAAAACAATCCAACGCACAATACATATGTTACCATATACCTTTAACTTATAGGTTATAGGCAGCCGTATCAATTATACAATATGATTGGCTTCGAAATGCGTAAAAGCAAAGAACATATTACCCACATGTTAAAAAAATTGAGACATGAAATTAAATAAATAAATAATATTATTATTTAATTGTTTATACTTCGATATATTAAATTAAAATTTTCCTGAATACCCTCCTTTTCCAACGAGGCCGTAAACTCATACGAATTGTTTCTGCCCGCACTTTTCCGCCATGCGTTGTCTGCGTTTGAAATAGGAAAGTTATTGGTATTTAAATTAACAAAAAGTCAACCTAAATCCAGACACCCAGTATACAATTTTTAAATACTATTAATGACTTTCGACAAAGTGCTCCTTAGTTAGGTACATCACAAATTAACTTTTTAACATTACAATTACAAAATTTTTGAAAAAAAAAACAAACATTTAAAAATCTGTTAAAAATACTTAGAATTTAAAAATGCAATATTTATATGGTGCCAATTGAAAAACCAAAGTTGATATCACTTCCGGTTTAACCGGAAGTTATAACGCATTGAAAATAATTAAAAAAAAATTGTTTATATATATGTATATATATATATATATAGCTTATAATTGCTATACAAATTTGAAATCGATACCCTGTATAGGTAATTCTGAGTTATTAAAGTTTGCTTAGACACAAGAAACAAGTTTAATAAGGCTCTTAGATGGTCGGTTCATGTAAAGAAATAAAAACATAACGAAAATTTAATTTAAAAAAATAGTAAAATGAAAAAAAAATAGAACACTTACTTGCAATAGTTTTGTGGGTCCTGGCCCTGGCGATTTTGCTTGCTGTAACAAGGTGGCTTGGACCAGTCCACTCTAACTAGCTCATCAAGGATCCTTAATCCTATAGAATAACAGAAAAAAAACAAATTAACAAAAACAATATACCTAACACCAAAATTAAAAAAATTACCTCTTAACCTCTCATAAGCCAACTCTGCCCACATTCTCTCCTTGAAGTTGACAAAGGCAAAATCCCTGATTTTGTGTACTTTATCCACCGTTTGGATGTCGATGAAATTGGAGAGGATGTGTTTAACCTCGTGGGACGACATGTCAAAGGGGAGTGGCTTTAAATAAAGCACTTTAACCTGTTAATAAAAAAAATTGTAAGTTGGAATCTTTTTTGTATTAAAGTCAACAAAACTTACGGTGGCCATGATCTGCGGGTCCACTTCCGGCAGTGGATCTGCCCAATCAACGTAGAGCCCTTTCCCAGGACCCTCTGCGTTTTTGGAAGACAAATATCTTCTCGCAATGGCGGCATCGCGATGGCTTTCGAATTCCACGAAAACATAACCTCTGTTGAGTTGGGGGTTGGTCGGGTTAGCGTAGAAAATAACATCCTTGACCCCTTTCACGTATAACTCGTCCAGCATTTCGAATACTTTCGGCCTGGTCATTTGGGTGTCGATATGGCTGATCAGTAGACGGCAGTTGTCGACAGACTTGTAGACCGCGATTTTTGCATTCGGTGCAATCTCGTAGTTGTTGAACTTTTCGACGGCTTTGTCGGCGCATTCGGAGTTAAAGTAACTTATGAAAGCGTACCCACGGGTGTTGTTTTGGTAGTCCACCATAACGCGTACCTTGAAGATGGGCCCAACCTCTTTGAAAATCGGAATTAACTTGTCTTCATAAATGTTCCTTGGGAGGCGCCCGACGAAAATTTCGCACCCTCTTTGGGGCTTCATTATGTAACTGTAAGGCTCGAAGCTTCTTTGGCCATTCAACTGGTAATATACGTACCCAGTTTCAAAGCATATACGATTCAGGTTTTCGTTGAACTCAACTTCTAAATTTCTCCTTGCTTTCGCCATTTTAAAATAGTTCCACGATATAAAGTATAAAAAACACGTGAGCCCTGCACTAAGAACAAACGATAAATGAAGCTAGAAGAAGCCGGAAATGCTTACTAGATTGGGTGGGGCAGTGCTATGATTGGTCCAAGTTTTACCGGTTTTAATGATGTCATTTCCTCCAAATTTTAACAAAAGTCTTTTGCTATTGCCTTAATACCAAAAAATTTCAAAAAACAACAAACATGAATTGTAGCTAAAAGTATTAAAACTAATATATTTCAATAAAACCATTTATTATATTGTAAATATTAGATATATTTTAGTAGGTACGTGTGTCAATAGGTGGCGTTAGGTATTTAAAGAACTCACTGCGCAAATGCCATATTTATTATTAAATGTAATAATAAATATAAGTACGAATATAAAAACTGCAACATCTTTTTTATTTATTTATGTAGTTGCATATTTCACTGTATAATAGTTTAACAAAACACTTTTTTAACTGGTACCATTTTAATTTTCTTAATTTTTTATATTGCACATTGCTCTCTTTTTAACCATTCCAGTTTTATTTTTTATTCAGGAATTATTTTTATCTGTTAACCCTGGGGGAATATTTTCACCCAAAATATAACAATTGTTAAGTGGTATGATTATCATCGATGATATTTTCGAATTAGAACCGAGCTGCAGAATGTGCTGCTTCGGTTTCGATATCATCGATAATTAATCATACCACGAGTTATATTTAGTGAGAAAATATAATAAATTTAGGATTTAACGAATTGTCAGTTTAACATTTGAAATTAAAATGTGCTTTAAAATATAAAGACTTTAATAAACCTTATTTATTCAAATTCATTATTTTAATCATTTAACAAACAGAGTATTTAAATGTCAACAAACGTCAAATCAAGAAAAGTGTCAAAATCCTTGGCAACGTGTAAACAAGGTGATAATAGTATATTATGTATCAAGTTTGATAAACGCCATTTTATACACGAATTTAATTTAGGCACGAAGCTTGCGAGCGAGTTCTTAAATTAATGAGTGTATATAAAAGTTTATAAACAAGGTGCATACTATACTTTTTCTACGACAAATACTTATTATTATCTTAAAATGATTTAAATCAAAAATTTGTATAGAGCACCATCTATGAAACAACAGGGGAAACTGTCAAATGTCACAATTTTACATTTTATAAACACAATTATAAAGGTTATAAATCGAAATGTATATTGAAAATTGACAGTTTTTCACAGTGAAAGTAAAGGAAATGTTTTACGAGGACTTTACAGTAGAGTTCGTGTCCGAATTTAAGTTATAGTTTACTGCCGGCGAAATTAAAAGGTCAGTAGGTACAATGTTCATATAAACTTTTCAAATATTGGCGTTGAGAAACTATTTAATATTTTTGTATTTTTGTATTGAGATAATAAAATAATTTTTACATTTGAGTAGTATTATTTTACAAGAAAGGCACTTTATTTTAAGGATTGTATGACATTTGACAACTGTCAACTAACTTAAAACTAACTTCAGCCCGTGACTAAAAACCTGTTGCTAACTTCAGCCCGTGACTAAAGCGCCGTAAAGCCCCAACTTGTCAATGTGTATTTAAAAGGTCACTTAGTGTCATGGAAACATGTACGATAAAGGGCGTTTTAAAGGTGGGAGTAGAAAAAAAATATTGTCGCTGTGATAAAATGCGTAACTATTGGTTCTAATTATAATGAATTGTATTGTCAATTAAATGTGATATTTTTAATCCCGACTGATTGAGAGTGGATACCAACTAAATTAAAAATATCAGTTTGGCATAAAGATTAAATATAATTTTAAAATATCTGCTATTATACTTACATAGGTATTATTAATTTGCAGAATAAATATTTTAAAGTGATATTTTTTATCTAATTGAAAATATCACTCTAGGGTTACCTAACACATAAAATTAATTTAAATTTAATAAAGTGTACAATTGGTTTATTTGGTGAAACAATTACACATTTATAAACTAATTTCATGTTTATTATCACTTTACTCAATGTTTATTATTTTTTCCGCTGGCGGCAGCACAAATCACCCATAAAAACCTCGTAAAATTCCCTGCTTTCGCTTAACGAAAGCAGGAAATTTTACGAATTCGTTATTGATTTTTAAGCCTGAAAGTTTTCAACGCTTTTCTGCGGTTCTGGGCGAGAGTTGGTTCGCCAGGTGAGCGGTAGATGGCCAATATTTATTGCAGTTCTAAATCGAAAAATGATACAGTTTTCTGTTGAGTTTTGTTTTGCTGTCAACACAAAGATGTCTTGATCGTAGGATTTATGTTTTTAAGGGTAATTAATAATCTAATCTAATTTAATATTATATTTAAAAGTTTAAAATTAAAAAACATTTTTAATTAGGTAAGTACCTAGGTTCTCACTTTATTATAATTATTTTATATTACTTTCATACTTTACTACTCTTTCTTTTAAAGTTAATCGCTAAATTTTAAATATTTTTGAGACAGGTAGTCCTTCATGAATTCAGTAGCATCTTCCTTAAGTACCTACCTTTAACATTATTTCTTTTTTGCTCTTTTTCTTACTACTAAGATGCATAATTTACGATCATAACTATTGATTATTTGTTCCAACAAACCATTCGTAAAGAGAATGACATTACCTATGACCATAAATCCGCCAACGTCGATTTTAATGCAAATCGCTTTCAAACACCAACAACGTGCATTTACTATTATCAATGCCATTATACAGGGTGTTTTTTGTGACATATTTTAAAAAAATAAGCGTTAAACTGACAGATGAAAAGTCATAGTGGACCTTTTTGGTGTGAAGCATAGTACATGGAAAATTTACCATAGCTTTGGAAATTTGTATATATTTTGTAAATCATTATTTATCTACAAATCTTAAAACAGGTTTTATCACAGAACAGATGCGTTTTATAAAAATAAAGCAGGTCTGCAACTAAAATCAGAAGATAAGATCGGCGGGAATTTTTTTTAGGTTAGTTATTTTAAAAATAACAAGTTAGTTTAATTTAACTAATTTTTGTAATTATTAACTAGGTATAATGTGTTACATTAACCTTATTTGAACCAAAACCAAAGATTTATAAATTACCGATAGGTAAATAAATTAGTTATTAAACACAATAAGATAACCTAATGGTTTAAATACACATGCAGGTTAATTTATATTAAGAATAAATAAGAATAGCATCCCAAAATCGCCATAAAAAAAAATGTCCCATTGGTTTTTCCCTTGGAACAATCTAGGTATGTAAGATCGAATAATCATATATGATATGAGGATTAATATTTAGGGGCGGCATTTTATTTTAAGTATCTCTAATAAGTCATATTTAAATATAAACATAACCATATTTGGTAAATTATAATTATTTAGTTAAAATAAACTTAAACCGGTTAATTATAGTTTATTGACTTGAGAGGTAAAAAGAAGTTAAAAATGGTAAAATAAACCAAAAACTAAAAAATATTACCTTCTATTCACATTACAAAAAATTTGACATTTAATGTCATACAAAATCAACTCAAAATATCGCAATAAAAATGTTAAGAAAAATTTTTATTGCGATATTTTGACTTGATTTCATATTTATATTAAATAATATCATCCACTAAGAAAACATTTTTTGTTGTTTGTACCCTATCATAATTTGTAACATAAATAACTCCTAGTAGGTATTATAATTATGGACAGTTTGTACTTAAATACGTAGGAAGAATATCCATTTTGAAATATAAATAATTGAGTTTTAAAAACCACATATTGTTTTACACTCAACAAACTTAATATATCCCTCATAATCTTGATTGAATTGTACCTGTTACATTTTAAAATAATTCTAAATGCTTTATTTTGCAGTTTTTACATTTCATTATTATTTATACTAAACAGCAGTGGCTGCAGCCACCATGGTGGATTTTGGGCACACCCATATCTAAGTTATTAGACATGAGACCCACATAAAATTTATATGAGTTTATAATGGCATTATATAGACAAGTTCTGCAAAAGCAGAATTTAAATTGAAGTTTGCGAAAAAAAAGTTACTTTTTTAGTGTGCCCCCCAGCTTCCTGCCCCCCCAAATTAAAGATAATTCAAATTAAAGTGGTGTAATTTACAATTCTCTACAGTTTATCGACAAATTTCAAAATTTATAATTTATAATAGATTTTATACCATTTCTATTTTTTTTAATTTAGTAAAAGAAATACCTAATAAAAATTTAAAATGGTATACATGGTATATATAAATCCTGTAATACTTGAATTTTTTTAATAAAATTTGAAATTTGTCGATAAACTTCAGTGAATTAAATATTGTACCACTTTAATTTAAATTATCTTAATTTGGGGGGCAGGAGGCTGGGGGGAACACTTAAAAACTAACTTTTTTTCGCAAACTTCAATTTAAATTCTGCTTGCGCAGAACTTGTCTATATAATCTCAACAATGACACATAATAATAAACACATATAAATTTGATGTGGGTCCCATGTCTAATAATTATTAGACACCCATATCTCAGTTAACTGAGATATGGGTGTGCCCAAAATCCATCAGCCGCCACTGCTAAACAGTAAAGTTGAACAATAATCGAAATGTGGAGCTATAATGGCTTTAGTAATAATTTTACTTCCAATAAGAGATTCTTTCCAATTCCACCAAGATAATATAATTTTTTTAAAATTTTATTTAATAAATATTAATCATGATTTTTAAAGTTTAGATTCGAGTCTAATATAATACCCAGATATTTTATTTCATCCACTTCCAATTTTAATATTATTAATTATAATATAGTATACCAGGTTTACGTTACTAAAATCTATATTAGTTGTTTTACGACTATATGAAATACACCTATACATAATACACATAATATTATCACAAAGCTATTTATAAATAATTTTTAATTCTAAATATACCATATCAACCACTAACATAAATCATAGTATTATCTGCAAACATACAAATATCACAACTTTTGGCATACTTTGACATATCATTTATAAGCAATAAATACAACAGTGGTCCCAGAACAGTACCCTGGGGTACATAGT